AGCCTTTGAAGCCTAGTAGTACCTGCTGGTGTGATATACTAGATAATAATGACAACGACAATAATTATAGTCATAAAAACATTCACTAATAATAATAACAATAATAAAAATAGAAAGAATCTTTAATTCAATAAAGATAAAAAATGCATATCTCAACTCACAAGTAGATTAAAGTAGATTATTTACATGCAGTGCAGAGTTCCTTTATGTATTCATATTCTCTTTAAAAAAAGTATCATTCAGATTTAGATGCAGCATGGACAGAAAAAAAAATGATCTAAGTAAAACTGTTGCATTAAGCACAGGGTCTACAGAGTTGATATTTCTGATGGACTTTACTCTCTTTTGCATAGCAACCTAGTATAAGTGAGACTATAGGCATTGATTTTAGTATTCTTAACATAAATTGAATATTTTCTATGATATCTTGAATCCTATAATAGGGGTGGCGAATGGTACCGCGAAAAACGTTGGTCTCGGAAAATTTTGTCAGGATCTCGAAATCTCAGAAGCGTTTATGATAAGTCTCGAAGTCTTGTTTTTTCATGGTTTGTTTTTACTTTTTTGGGTCTCGAAACTTTTCACCAAAGAGTCTCGGGCTCGGATTTCTAACTGGGATCTCGGCGTCTCGGCAAGTCTCGGATTTTACCATTCGCCACCCCTTATAATGACTTCCTTTTTACAGCTCCATTACAATCAATGGATTAATATCATGGTATTTTGTTTCTGTTGGAATCTAGTAAGAGTGTTTTTTATGTTCTTTATTCTTCTCAGCTGGATGTGTGACATCAATCATAAAGTCAGCAAACCAGTGATACCTTTAAATAACACTTCCATACTTAATATATAAAATTTCTTTGCTATTATCAGCAAATTCTCTCTAACAGTACTAGTACTGCTAACCGGCTTTGGAATAAGCCTGACCTTCTTGCTGGTGTAGAGGAAATTCTGACATGAAAAGCTTCATGTGTTGTCCTTGTTCTACCACTAAAAATTATCACTAACGGTCAAAATAACATTCAAATCTGGTCTTGTTGCAGTCAAAAGCAGTGAGGACCTCAAAGGCCCCCTTCTGAAATACATGTAGTAGAAGGTGTTTATATTCCCAATAAAAGTACTGGTAGATGGAAAAAGATTAGCCTGTTCGCAGACCAGTCTATTTTCTCTTCAAAGTCCGTCGAGCGCGAGTGGTAAAATAGAAACCGCGGGTGTACAGGCTAGAAAAAGATAGTAGTGACGAATGGTTGGTCAAAATTGTAGTTGTTGGTTGCAAGGAAGATTTAGAGGGCTGGATATAGTTAATCTCAGTATAACAGGCACTTGGCCATCATCTCTTATAAATTTGTCAAATGGGGTGTAACATACAACATCACATTACTTGATGTTTAATAAAATGATGTTCTGCAAATACATGTACATTGCTGCTATTTAATCAAGTTCATATTAAACAGCTGTACATGTATGTTGAATTTCCATAGCTGCCTCAGGTTCTGCGCAATTTTCTCCTAACTTTCAATGGCAACAATAAACTGAATTTCCCAGCAAATTGCAATAAAACTAAGTTACTTACCTTCACTTGGAAAATATAAATTTTAATGTAATAACAATTATATTTCATTAATGATGTAAGAGAATCAATTTTTAACCTAAAGTAAGGTAGCACATTAACCTGGTAGAATTGGCACTGGTATTCTTCTTGTTTCTGTCAAAATTGCAAATTTGTCCTCTTTTACCGGTGTGTTGAGAGGAGCCTAGAGAAATAAAAAAAGCATAGATTTAGATAACAACCAGCTCCCATTTTACATTTTAATTCTTTATCCCACAGTTTGAAAAGTTATGTCTTTCATGATGTGTATGTTACAGGTCAAAATTAAAATCAGATGAAAATTTGTTGATCTAGCCCTAGGTTGCTTCTCAATTTCCTTTGTCTTTTTTAATTTCTTCTTATTTTATTATTTTATTTTATTATTTTTGCCACACACAATGAATTACAAGCAGAATAAAAACGATAATAAATAGGTTAATTAACATTAAATTTAAAATTTGTACATTACTTGGGAGGAGTGACTGTGGCGGGGAAATCTCCGAGAAGCCGAGCTTATGAGGAATAGAGATTTCCCCCCACGGGCAATTTAAATACTAGGCGGCATTTTGAGAAATAAAGAAAAAAGTCGTTTTTTTAAGTATATAAGTGTGTTTAGAGGAAAATATAAATATGAGGTGTTAAGGTATTTAGGTTGCATTCTGTCTGACCCTAAAAATGGTTTGATCACACGCTTAAATATACTAAAAGACGGGGCATTTTTTATGTCGTTCGGTAATGAATTCGATATTCTAGGACNTTTTGCCACACACAATGAATTACAAGCAGAATAAAAACGATAATAAATAGGTTAATTAACATTAAATTTAAAATTTGTACATTACTTGGGAGGAGTGACTGTGGCGGGGAAATCTCCGAGAAGCCGAGCTTATGAGGAATAGAGATTTCCCCCCACGGGCAATTTAAATACTAGGCGGCATTTTGAGAAATAAAGAAAAAAGTCGTTTTTTTAAGTATATAAGTGTGTTTAGAGGAAAATATAAATATGAGGTGTTAAGGTATTTAGGTTGCATTCTGTCTGACCCTAAAAATGGTTTGATCACACGCTTAAATATACTAAAAGACGGGGCATTTTTTATGTCGTTCGGTAATGAATTCGATATTCTAGGACCTTGAAACAGGGTCGAAAATTTTTTAAAATTTGTTCTACAGGTATGATGTTGGTAAAAGTCAGAGTATCTTGTTGAATATTGATAAATCTGGTTTCCAGTTTAAAAGATTTGAGTAAAAGAAATAGGTAAAGCATCATTATGTGAAATTATCTTATTTCAATCTACCTGGTGGTTTAAGAAATTTTAACCTGAATTTAATGACCTGTAATATGTATAACTTTTTCATTATTTTCAAAAGGACATGTTTTGTAAAATCAGCCTCTAGTTACTGTATTATTTTATCTCATACAGTTGGTTAATTTACCATTTACTTTGTTAAACTTCAAGTTTTTTTTCTTTTCTCTTACCCCTCTGTCCTTCCAATCAGGTAACAGTTCATTAAGTGCTCGTGGCTCCAGGCAAGCCCCAGACAGAGTATGTCCACCTAAGGAGTAAAGGAAGATTGTCAATGCTTTCAGGACAGTTCAGCCACAGCTGCTTAGACTGATTAGTATTCTCAATGGGTTTTTTACTGCTTCTGGTTGGCCAGGACTCAAGTTTTTAAAAGGAAGTGAGAGTGAAATTTGGGATTTGAAGAATATGATGGGACAAGGGATTTAGTAATGTGTTGGAGGATTCAGAAACGTCTAAATATTAAGTACACACAAAAATTACATTGTGGTACATGTAGTAAGATTGTTTTTTTTTTCCTAAAGGCTACAATATACTGCAGAAAAATTACTTTGTTTTAAAGAAAACATCCTTACAATAATATACAATTAGAATTTTAACAAATGCTAATGCTCAGATTAAACTTATCACCAATAGATAAGTTTCAACATGGTTGCCCACAAGGTTGGTGGAGCCGGGCAATGCTCTTGCATGAGGAAAGAGATATCCATGGCAACCCTGTAAGTGTCCCTTACAAGACACTTTGCGAAGAACTGCTAGCAAGCAACTGTGTGTACAAGTCACGAGGTGCCATTGCTAGAGGCATGGGACAAACCCCAGCATAGTTAGGAAAACTGCTGACCAGCACTGGTTAGAGGTTAACTTTGCCCAAATTACATTTAGCCACATTGATATTCTATGACAACACAATAAAACTCCATTTCAAATCACTAAAAGTGTAAAATAGTGTTGTCAGAGTTAAGGACATCAAAAACAAAGTATATAACCAGAAAATATTCAGTCGTTAAAACTTGATTTTCCACATGGCTTCCTTTGCCTCGCAAAAGAGGGAAAGTCGGGGGTGTGAATGTCACGCAATCATCAACACATCGCATTGGATTGCATCAGTCATTTGAAACGCAAAATACATTTTAAAAATTGACTCTTTCGTTAAAACAGTGAGGTAGAAAATTAAAATTAAGCTTTTCAAAATTAAATTTTAAAAGACTAAGTTGAACTTACATAAGAATTAAAGAAAAAAGGCAGCTAAGTTATGTAATCTCACCGATTTCCGAGGCTTTCTCCACAAGGCAAACTCGAATTTCTTTCTCATTTTCTTCGGCCAGTTGCTTTAGTCTGATTGCAGCCGATAAACCAGCCGGCCCTCCACCGACTATTACAACGTCGGCTTCGTCTGAAAATCGTTCCATCTCTACATCTAAAAGCGAAAAATTGAACCCTTGTGATATTACATTATTTTGTGAACGCTGAAAAACTTGTGTTGTATACACTGTACACATACCAAAAGTCACGAAACCAGTTTTACTATTACTTACTAAAAAACATAACATAAGCAACAAAAATTACCTTTCCATCTTGGATCAGTTTCTCTTGGTACAACGGTGTAATGTGTTGTAATTTTTGGCACCGAATCGCTTGAGTAGAGGCGGCTTTGAAGAAGAGGCAAGGCTGAAATTAACAAGAAGTCGGCATTTTAAGTCTGATTAGGGAACCAGGGTAAAAGTTTATAATTGATAGTTTAAGTGTACCTCTTCTTGCACTTCTACCAAGAATCCCAACTCGATTACTCCACATGTGTACTGACACAAAAATCAACTAAAAGTTCATTGACACTTATCAAAAACAGACACAAACTGCACGTCCAGACTGGGGTTCCGGTTCCAAAGGTCAAAATTTCCGCGCGTACGTGTTGCTTGGTTTACCGCTGAATGAGCCCCAAAACAAAACGAGGCTTTCCGAAACCGGTCGGCCTCCAGTATGAAGAGTTGGCTTGCACGGATTTTCGACGACTGACGCGGAAAATTGAAGTGTTTTTAGGAGCTGGTGACTATGAGCTATGAGGCGGTTTAATTCATCCACATTAATTTTCAGGAGAAACAAAGAACCGTCCAGCAATGTCTAACAACGCATGCTGTTCTTGCTGTCAATTTAGTCGCAGAGAGTTTCGGAGCTGGTTGCGGCCTGTGGTGATATCAATTTACTTTGTAATCCTGTGTGTTGCTCTTCCACTAACTGTTTGGGAATTGCACAAAAATCGTGCTCAAACTCATGTTCAGGCATGGTTTGTCGCAGGATGTTTTGTGTTCTTGACAATTCCTATTTCTCTCTGGGGAATTCTCCAACATTTAGTGAACTATACCAAACCAGAGTTACAAAGACGGATTGTCAGGTAAAAACTACAGTAGGTCCAAGACATACTCGGATTCAGTTTCACAGGTCAAGATGTGCAACTACAGGGGAAACAAGGTGTCTCCTCTCACATCCGCAAAGCCTTTTTCAAACTTCACTCTCCACATGTGCCAAATCTAATGCACATAAATTAGAGCATTCGATTTTCCTCATAAGCATTACATTTGTAGCGACTCAGCTGGCCCATGCTTGGTCCAGACCATTTGTGTAGTCCGTCTGCAAATTAGTGCACAAGAGCTCGTTCTGATATCCAGCAGAGTTGCATGGATATATGTGAGCGTTTCTGATAGTCAGGTTTCTTACGAGTTTCTTATGCACCTCACAATTGGCCCAATTCTTAAGTGTGCATGACAGTTGGGCACAGCGGTAAGGAGCATTTACAGTAAACAATGAAATGGCAGTTCAAACTTGAAAACGTTCTTCTGAACACAAAAAAATGCTTTGAGGGAATTGCTTTGAGGCCAAATACGTTTGTAAATTTGCCGACTGGTTTTCCAGCGTCTTCCAATTGCTACAGATGCATTGCTGTGTATTCTGCAATTTAGCCAACAGTTCTAGCGTCGAACCAAATTAGAAAATCATGATCTATTCTTTGATGTAAAAGCTACTCACATGTAACTATTCAGGTGCAGGTGTTTCAGAGAAAACCAACAAAACAAAGGTGATTTAGCAGCGATAAAAAGCTCAAGGCTTTAACAGAGAAAAAAGGAAACTATTTTTATGGTATAAACTGCATCTGTGATAAAATCCTGTCAGAAAACACGTTCAGAAACATAAACAACAGGAACTAGTTACTCAATATGCATGGAACAGACAGCATTATAACCTCAAAATGTGTGATTCGAAGCACCAAAAATAAGACTTGTTCTACCTCAGTCACAGTTCATAATACCCATGCACTGCATGACTATGTAATTAATTTCAAAAGTTTTAAGGCGCAAAACTATATAAATATATTCAAATAAATTATAAAAGAGAACGCATATTTTCTGACAAGTGCAACCAATACTGACATAGATGTATTAAGAGTATTTTGTTTGTCTCAACAGAATTCTTTGGATGGTTCCCATTTATGCAACAGATAGTGTAGGTAGATGATTTTTTTATGTTTTCATGAAAATTAATTTCAAAGGAAGGATGAAAAAAATAGAAATAGTTTTATATAACCCAAGAGTTGTGATCAAGTTGTCCACAACAGCCCCAGGCTACTTCTTAACTGTCAATTGAGGGATAAAAGGTCACTTAAGTTACTCTGGGCTACATTTTGAGTGGAAGCCTTTATCCCTCTATGTGTAAGGAAGGTCAAGGTATGCAAAAACTGAATAGGGCCTGCAAAGCTGAAGCTAATGAGCTTGTATAATAATTTTGGTTGCAAGAAGCACTTACTAGGAATATCGATACTCCCCCCTGGACTGAATGCTCGTCCATTCCAGGGTTACCCCAGCTATATGTCACTGGTACTTATTTATACGACTAGGTTAAGAGAGACAAAGTGGAACAAAGTTTCTTGGCTTGAAGCAGAAAACCACAATGACAAGGCTTGATCGTTCAACTACCTTTCGATCTACTGATCATTCGGTGTTAGTTGTTCAACTACCTTGTTCCTAGAGTTCTAGTACAGTCAACTCTCTCATAGCGACCACTTCTCATGAGCAACCACCTCCTAGAAGTGACCACTTTCTCAGTTAAATACTGTTTCAAAAACTCTCTTGTAAGGGACGACTTTTTTTGGTCAGAAATTTGACTTATTCTTCTGTTTTCTGTTTCCTATAAGAGACCACCTGGCATGACTGCAACATTGCTAAATAAGTGAAATTTTTCTTATTGTTTTGGTTGAATCTCATTCAATCTTGGCCTTGTACATTTGCAGTGCATAACGAAAAAACCTTTGTTCCTGCTTTTTTAAAAGGCTATATTGATCACCTATTTGATAACCTTCAGTCTGGAAAAAGAAATTATTGTTTTGGAAAACGGTCTGGAAAAAGTCTTGAATGTTGGATCATAAAATCTGTATGAACCCTGCCCTTTGGTGTGCTTCAAGGCAAGGGTGGTCACTTTGGAGAGAGTTGACTGCTAGGTGCCTATTACCCCACCCTAGGCCCTATTCCAGACTCTAACTCTCCTTACTAGGTTACAGTCAATCATATCACGCCCAGGATAGGGGTGAAAGGGGTGTCGGCCAATGGATTTCCAAGTTAGGATTTCTCCACCCCTTTTCTTGATTATACAGTAAAGCTTGCCTTGATGGTCCTTGAACATAAGATAAAAACTGTTAAAATAAATAGTGTATGCTTGCTTGGCCCCAATAAATGGCCTCTTAATTTTACTGACTGGCACATCTTTTGTGTTTCAGTGGCTCGCTCTTCGTTTTCCTAAGGCAGCTATTTACTTGGATTCTCTTAGAGAGTGCTATGAAGCTTATGTGATTTACAATTTTATGACATTTCTGCTGGCATACCTTTCCTCTGAATATGCCTTTGAAGTGGTTTTGTCTGACAAGCCTCAAGTCAAACACTTCTTTCCTTGCTGTACCTTACCCCCCTGGAGGATGGGCAAGTATGGGGTCACGTAGTACTATCAATATCCATAATCTAAACACTGCTTCTTATGAATTTCCTATAATATGGCATCAATGAAGAGAATAATTCTTTTCACAGAAGTGACCTGATTTAACAAAGTAGTTATTGTCGTGTTAAATCAGGTCACTTCTTTGAAAAGGTTGCACTAAATGGTTACACAGTCATGTGATTCCATAGAAGATGCATGCACAGGCTAGGGTGCAAAGGCAGTCATTTTTTACAGCTTGCCATTCGGGCAAGCTGAAGCTGGCATTTACTAGCCCAAATGTCATTTCAACTGGCCCCCAAAATTTTTTGATGACCAGAAAATGATTTCACAGTTCTTCTGTAAGTTAAAGTTCCTCAAAATACTTCACTTGCCCGTTGGGTACTGAGTTAAGAACTCAATTCACTAGCCCGATAGCAAAATCCACTAGCCCCAGGCTATCGGACACTACTTTCTTTGCATGCTGATGCAGGCCTGTTGAGATATCTTCATTTTGCTGAACTGTATGAGATATAGGAGTGGGAGGTGACATCATTAATCCCATTTTTAAAGTATTAAAATTTTAACATTACTTTGAGGCTTTAGGGCTAAAATTGCAAATTTTTATGACTCCATTGTCTCGCAATTCCCAGAAGAGACTTGAGCACAAAGAAAACCAAACCAAATATAGAAAAATGAGCAGAAAGCCTCGGACTCATTTAGACTTTTAATACAGTATATCAAACATGGGCTATTCTCCCGTGGAACAGTAACCTAGTACACTGAGCTCACAGAAACTAACGCAAAATCAGCTATTACAATGTAGCTGAGGAGAGTTACTGTATCAGACCACACAGTGTGGGATTTTTTGTTTGTTTGTTTTGTTTTGTTTTGTTTTCTTTGTTGTTTTTTTTTTTCATGAAAGACTTTCATCCACACACCCTGTCCATGAGTTTACTTCGTTTGGAGTAATGTCAAAATGACACTTCTGCTCTTTTTCCATCTAACGTTTAATAATTGTTTTTTGTAGGACATTAATAAGCAGGTGCAAGCAAGGCGCATTGTCTTACACAGTTGTAAGAATCATCACCACAGTCATTGCTTTGTAAGTATGTTTATTATACGAGTAATAACCAAAGGTTATGAAGTACGGACGAGGGCAAGGGTCAAAATTCTTTTACTCCAACACTGTGCTTTGTATAAAATTCCCGTTATGGATGGTCAAAACATGCATAATTAGATGATGAGAGATGGAAGGTCCAAACCTGCGTTAGATTAGACGGCATACTGTGCATTCCATTCATTCTTAGTAGAAGTCTAAATGAAGCTGGCTATATATGTGTAAGCCATGCATGCGTAATAGCAACCTGGAGATTATGATTGCGCAGACCTTGTCACCCGCAATTAACATCAACAAAATTCTTAGTGAGCTTTAACGTGAGATCATGATATCTTCACATATGACAATAATAAGTTATCAGCTTCACCAGGAAAAGATGTTGTTGGAAAAGATAATGTTAAGCTCCAATATCTACGTAATATACAAATTCTCCATTCTGCTGATCTACACAGATTTCTTGTAGAATTAGTGGGGAGAATTTTTCCAAAGATTGAGGCATTTTTCCCTTTAGAAATCATTTTGTTTATTCTCATAGCTTTTTCTCTAGAATGTGTATCAATATTTTAGGAGAAAATTGATGTTGGTTACTCTTGGATCTTTAAGGTTTAACAAATAAATTGTGCTTGTCACAGCCAAAAAATCTTTTTTAAGTGAAGTGGATTGATATTTCATTGGTGTTAAATTGACAAATAGAATGTTACTTGTACATGGCCAGTTGAAGACTGAATTTCTCTTCTTGTGTTGAAAAGCGAAATTTTTATCTTTGTATGACCATGACTTGTAATATCCTCCGTATATTCATAGCATGCTTGTCTTGAAGCGTAAATTAAAATGAATCCCTTGAAGCTAAATAAATGCACATACAGCTGTACATGAAACAGGGTGAATGTCAAAAAACTGTTTTCAAATTAATTTTTTGTAGTTTCAAAAACTAAGTACTAGAAGTGTGACAATAATTCAGATACCCCTTTTGTGAAATATAATATTATTAATTAAGCTCCATTTAAAGGAAATATACATTTTGTTAACCAATTTTTTTCGTTGTTGTTAATTTGATTTTACTCCCCTTCTGTTGTTTAAGAAAAGTATATCCAAAAGCCAGGTTAATTTAGCCCTATTTAATATGCCACTCTTTCAAGGCTCTCTCTTTAACTAGTTAAGTAAGTGCTACATTTTAACCTTTGCTTTTGTATTTTGTAATGTGTATTCTATTAGTATGAAAGAAGGGAAATAGAAAAATTGAATAAATTGTAGTTTACCCGTGGATAGAGACTATTTGAAGACTTGCAATACCTACATCCTTGTGCTTTTCCTTGTTCATATCCATCCCAAGGAAAAAGTCATCATGATTATCATATTAACCCAACTTTATCACTGTCTTTAATTACATTTCTCTTTTCTTTGCCTATTTTAGCTGCACTGAATTGGCTGGAAAGTATGATGAAGGAAATTTAAGCTTTAAATCAGCATGGAGTTACATTGTAGTCATCAACAACTGTTCTCAAGTGGTATGACTGTAGCAGGTTTAAATTTTGATCCAGTTTCATGTGTGCTTGTTTTATATAGACATCGTGATGTTAGAGTCGATGCATACAGTGGAAATAATGGGTGAAAAGGGATGTGAATTCCCTCAGCCTGTTGTATTTTATTATCACCCCAATCTGCAATAAATTGCACAGAAATAAAATCTAAACTTGCACATATCTCCAAAAAGAATTTAAAAAACACAAAAATTAGTTTACATTAGTTTTTCCTCCCCTGTCCTGTTATTACGGTATCCTGTGTGGGAGGCACTGGTTAATTTTTTTTGTATATGTATAGTTGTTGCAGAGCGTGCTAGGGGAACACCTTTCCCCTTGAGAACGTGCATATCCTCAAAATTTATCACATCGCCCTAAACAACAGGCCCCTGCTATGCGGGCTATCATTATGGTTCAGTTTGTACTTAAGGCAATAATTCCACCTGTGTTAGTTTTGTTTGACTTCAACACTTCTGTGGTAAAACAACAATAATAAAAGCTACAACAATAATGAAAATGCAAGGAAATTGTTGAGAGACATGTTGGCATCAATTTACTAAGTATATGCTAGCTAAGATTGTTAAGATTGCATCCCCAAAATGTTGTAAGGCTACTCCTTAAGCAGTGTCTGCACTTGTTACATGTAAGTTTGATGTGCTTGACTAGATAATTTTCTTCTGACTTGTACTTCATTTTTGAACTTTATTCTTGTAATGGGGTAAGGGTCTAGCCTGATTCTCAGACGTCCGAGCTCATTCATGGTCCCTTTTGCTTCGGGAGAGGGAGAGAAGCAAAAGGGACAGCGAACGACCTCAGACGTCTGAGAATCAGGCTAGTGAAGGTCTAGCTCGATAGTTTTTTTCTCTCTTTCTTCTGTTTATGGGGGGGGATTTTTTTTTTTTTTATGTATTGTTTTGTGGTGGGAGAGGTTGTTGTCGTTTTTCAGGAGGTCCGGGTTATTTTCGTGGCCTTTTGGGTTGGGGGGGGGGGAAAAAAAAAAAGGGAGAGGAAACCCCCCAGGAGTTTGGAAAACTGGGTGAGGGAGTGTTTAGTTGTATTTTTTTTTTTTTTTTTTTTTTTTTTTTGGGGGGGGGGGGGGGTGGCTTTGGGTAGTTTTACCTTGTAGGGGACTACCTTGTATATGGTATGTCTCTAAATCATTGTAAATATATAAAAGAACAATTTAACTAAGTTTATTATATAAACACCCATGAAATACCAGGTGAGCTTTGGCCCGAAAACATGATATCTTTACACGTGAAAATAAAATGTTTATGTTATTTTCACTTGTGAAAGGATCACCGTTGCTATGGGCACATACATCATGCCTTTCACAACAAAAAACTATTAAAAGAAATGGTTGGGTATTTCATTGGTGTTTATATAGTACATAGAACATTACATGGTCGCTAGAAGATACAAAAGTTCTCTTCAAGTGTTGAAAACTATTTCGCAAGTGAGTACAGTGAATGAGTGATATATTTCTTCAACACTTGAAGAGAAATTTTGTATCTCCACTTGGTCATGTACAGATGTAATATCCTCTATATTTGCTAGCTAGATTTTCATACTAGAACAAAATTCTTGCTTTGGTTTCAGTGGGCTATGTATTGTTTGGTGCTGTTTTACAAGGCTGCTCATGAGGAACTCAAACCAATAAAGCCATTTGGAAAATTTTTGTGCATTAAACTTGTTGTTTTTGCATCTTTCTGGTGAGTGGGCTTTTCAGATTACCATACTTCCTCGAATAGTAGCTGTCCCTCGATTAATCGCCTTCCTTGAATAATCGCCCCCTTTAGACGGATATATTTATAATAATCACCTCCCTTGAATAATTGCCCCCCCCCCACCCCTCTTGTCTTCTTCTCTTTCTTTTATCCCCTCCCTGCCAAGTTAAAGTATAGAGTCTGATCAGTGTCAATTCAAGCTCTAATGCCAAGGATACTGACATTGAAAATTAATCAAGGAACCAAATTTACAAAGCCTTACAAAGCCCATATGTGATGGTGGCCTTTCCCCTTCTTTCCCCTCCAAACAAGTTACGGAGGGGAGGCAGTGGCCTGGTGGCCTTTCCCCTTCTTTCCCCTCCAAATAAGTTACGGGGGGGAGGCAGTGGCATGGTGGTCTTTCCCCTTCTTTCTCCTCCCCATACTACCTTCCCACTCACTTCGTACGCCGATTTTTTTCTTCTTTTTCCCCCAAGGCGGACCCTGGTCCCAGGCTACCTGGCATGTAAACAATAAGCCAACAGAAAAGACGTATTTTCACACCATAACTTTTCAAGAGGACACACATCTTTATTCCCATTATGTTTTTGCTTGTTATGTTTAAGTTATTATTGTGTCGTTATTAGCATTTTGATCATTCAAGGAAAGACATGACTGAGCTAAAATTTCTCTGGGGGGGGTCAAAAAGAGCAGCCACATTTACAAATTTATTTTGAGCCCTGCGTGACGGCTATGTGCAATTGGTCCAACAGAAAAAAAATGTATTTAGTGCTGATGTTGATCTTTGAAATTTCATTAGCAATGCACATACTGGTAATTAAAGTAGATTGTACTTCCTTATAATTTATTTCTTTTACGAAAAGGATATTACCAATTTATATCTTAATGAGTTATAGTGACTTAAGTGAACAGATCATATCATCAATATTCAATAATAAAAATTATCATTTATATCACCAGGCAAGGTGTTTTGATTGCCATTCTTGTCAAGGTATGTGTTTTTTTTGTTTGTTTGTTTGTTTGTGGTCTCCTTTGAACTTGTGAATAACTCACACTGCTGATGCCTGATTTTGCATTTTTGTTCACTCAATACTATAGCAGTTATTGAATGAGACTGAGTAGGATGTGAAGAATTATGCAGATCGAGGAGAATGTTCCCCTCGGTGATAACAGCCTCAATATGGTATAATTATTGCTTGCATCTTCCAAATTTGGTCAATGCTGGTTGGTTCTGAAGAATTAGCCAGGGGATTTTAGCAAATCAGAAACCGCGAAATATTTTGAATGAACAGTAATTTATGCCATGAAATGTCATGGATGAGAAGACAAAATTACATGTCCTCTTTTTGGAATTTCATGCTTATTAAATCCTCCAAACTATAACTATTTCCAGTTGCTGACCAGCACATATCATTGTGGATAAGATTGGCGTGATAATCAATTTAAACACACTGAGAGTAGAGCCTCCTTTTGCTCTGCTTGAATCGTATCAAGCCTTTGAAGTTGCCAAAGCCCAAATCTCTGGACTAGTCAATCTTGTTTTCACTCGTCAGACTGGTCTTAGCCTGTTAACAAGCTCTTCATGGCACTCCAGCGGCCAAAAAGCTGGCTCCAAGGGACTTTGTACCAAGCACAGGCTAATAGGCCTGGGTTTGAAACTGTATCTCAGCAACAAGCAGCACATGTTCAACAAAGATCTTACTTGATTCATGCAGGGTCCTTCTTGAACATGCCAAAATCTAGCAAGTTGAAGAAAGTCTCTGTTATATTATGGATACAAAGTTGGTTTACAGCCAGGAACCCAAAAGTGTGACCTCCTTTAATTAACTGACATTCTTTCATGCAGACATGAACCAATCAGAAGTCGAGGACAGTTTCCAGCTGGTTTCTGATTGGATTAAATCTGTACAAAAGAATTTGAATAAATAAAAAGCGGTCACACTTTTGGGCTCCTTACTGTAAAAACTGGATCAATTTAGGTTTCTGGGAAACTACCCACCTACCCCACCCCTAAGCCAACATTTTGCCCTAAGTAAGAAGTAAGGTCTAATGTTAGCGCCCACCTACCCCTCCTCTAAGCCAACACTTTGCCCTAAGTGAAAAGTAAGGTCTAATGTTAGCTTAGGGGAGGGGTACGTCGGTTAAAAACTTGTACTCATATTTAATAGACTCCTGCTGATACAGTGATTTAATCTAAAGATCCCTGTTATCTTCTAGGTGGGAATAATATCAGCAAACCATACGTGGAGCTTTTACACTGTGGAGGATGTTGCCAATGGTATTCAGGTGAGAATAGGATTTTCGGCCACTCGCTAATTCACCTCAGATCTGTCTAAAACTGCATCAGCGGGCAAAGAATTCAAAGTGGTGTCCGATAGCCCGGGGCTGGTGGATTTTGCTACTGGGTTAGTGAATTCTTTTCTCAACTTGCCCAACGTGCAGGCAAGGTTTTTGGGGGAATTCACTGTAATCAATCCTGCTCATGGAAAAATTTTTTTGGGCCATATGAAGTAACTCTTGGGCTAGTACATTCTAACTACAGCTTGCCCAAATGGCAAGCTGTAAAACTGATTTTCTTTGCACCCTGCTATATACTTACTGGCTGGTGAAAAGCTGTATGGCCGGGCTGCCTAACTACGTGATAATTTTACTTCATATATGCATGTAAAACACAACACTTGCCCGCAAAAAAAGCTGGTCTAGTCAAGTAGTGAAGAGGCTATGCGTATAGCCGGGTTCTCTAGGTTAGCGGTCGTTTCGACAAAAGTGGATTCAGTCATAAGAAAGGTTTCACGTGCTTGGCTTAAAGAACAAGGCCGAGGAATATTCACCCCCAAGTATTTTTTCTCGTTCACGCGCAAACTATACTTGATCGAAAATGTTGCGCAGTTTCACTGCTCATGACTGCTTGAGTTCGTATCGAAACGACTTGTATAGAAATGACTTTGTTTTTAAACGCTTGGTTCCTTTAGCCGCACCGTCTCATCAAAAAGGTACGGCTACACAGAGGCTAGTAGTGACTGACATTATTAATCACTACTGATGGTCAACAGAAAGACAACGATTAACTAATTTTAAAAATTACCGTACAGGTGTTAGAATACCACTTAAGAATTTGTACTCTCGTATGCAGTTAAGACCACGTTTTACTGGCCCGGCCAAGCAAACGTCCAGTCATCTCCTTGTTTTACAAGCTTGTTAACCCCATAAGCCTAATATCCAGATACCAATTTTCCTGAGTGATCTCCTTGCATTTTTTTAAATAGAGAGCTTTAGATTTGAGGACGAGAACGAGTACGAGTACGAGATTTAACTAAAAGTTTTTACGCATGTTCTATAAAAAAAGGTACCCCGGAAAGCTTCATTTTACTTTTTTCCACCAAAAAAGTTAGTACGGTTATTTATGCTGAAACAGGTTAAGCCCTCTCCCGGTAGCAAAATAATATAACTCTTACACTTCTTTCCGCAACTACGACATTCTCGCAATGGCGACGTCTATCACGTTTTCCCGCCAAAATGACGCTGGTTCACGCGTGAGCAATACTCAGTATTGAGGAAATCTCGTACTCGTAGTTACCCTGGGTACCAGAGGTTTTTCTCGCGTGCGGCGGGTATTTTTCGCGCTAGAAAAGTCTCTCTAACTCGTATTCGTCCTCGTCTCAGAATCTAAAGTTCTCTAATAATTTGTTGAAAGAGTTTGTTAAAAGATCAAAGCATTTTCCCTTCGTGATCATTTTATGAATTCCCATTACTTTTTCTCTTAAGTTTATTATGTCGGTTACTCTTGGGCCTTAGAAGGTAAATACGACCACCACGTTATTTTCGTTACCATTTTACCCCTTTCACACAACCCCTTGAATTCTTTATGTTAATACTAGGCTTTCTAAAAGTCCTTGCTTTTTGTGGGCGCAAAATTCACCGGTAACCTGCGTGGCAGTCGCAAAAAGGGGAGGAAAACGGGGAGAGGGAGAAAAGCGCAACCCCCCTCACTTTCTCACTTCCTCCCAAACCCCTTTTCTCTTTCGACGCCTGTTCCACCGGTGACGTCAGGATGACGTAAGCTGCTGATATTTGACAGCACTCTCGACAAAACATATGTCAATCATTTTTCCCGCGAGAATTTATAATATGATTCAAATCCCTTCAGGCTAATCAAGTCGACGTCGCGACTTCGTCGCCCGCTCAGTCGCTGCGCGACCTTATTGAAGCTCGCTTCGCTCGCTTTCAAGAACTTAAAAGAACAAGTCTATGCTAGTACATGTTACAAAAGCAATCGATCTGGCAAACAGTAATACTTTGTAATATTAAGTAACAAGTAATACTTGACTGGACCATTTCCTCCTTTTCTAGCTTTGACACTGGAAAATACCTATCCCTTTTTTTTTTTCTCTTCGACATTTTTGTGTTCCTAGTAAAAAACGTTTCTAAATCAAAAGTCTCTGATGTCCATACCCTATCCCACACGCCGTGGCCTGAGTATCACTGAGAAATTTCAAGGGGGGGGGGGGGGGGGGGAAAGGGGGAGAGGGAAGGGGGGAAACCCAGGGGAAAAACCCCCCACCCCTTTAACAAAAACCAAACCCAAGGGGGGGGGGCACAAAACGTTTTTTCAATGGGCGTTTTTTTTTCCCCCGGGGGAAAAACATTTTGTGTGGGGCGGATTTCCCCCAGGTAAAAATTCCCCCGGNACTGGGCTCAAAGTTCGAAATCACAGCAGCATTTTGAGCGCTGCTGTGAACGTTTTTATGTTTAATATATTCAAAGCACCTTGAAACAGTGGAAAATTTTCTTTACAATAGTGTTTAAGAATTCTTACCTTACCAAGTCGAAGCTGTTTCCCCAAGGGCAGCTTTGGGGAAAAGATATAATGTAACCGCACCTTATATAGGCGTATTACTATAAACAAAACAATGGCTGACTGGCTGAAAATTCGCGCGTTCGCACGAAACCACTCTAGACGAACAAAAATTTAGACATGTAGCCGTTCCAAAATTTGAGCTCGAAAACGAGGTCAAATTTTTAGCTTGAACGTTTGAAAATTTGACCGGCGTGGTGTGAACACCTTAACCGTCTAAATTTCGAACGGCAAAGGCGTGGTTACATGGATAGGTGGTAACTCAACTGCAAGACACCATTTTGGATTTGCTAAAGTAGCGCTCTGCGCGTGGGCAGATAGTAAATCCACTGAAAGAAGTTGAAATTTAACTCCGTTTGGTTCGGTCTTCTTCTTCCTTGGAAATCACGATGCGTCCACGATTCTCTGGTAGGAATCGCGGGCGCATCGAGACTCGGGGATCCAGTTTATCTCCTCCCCTGAAGCAAGAGAGAGACCCTGGAAACGAAGTTGCTACTCGAAATTAACTGTCTATTTGTACGTCTTTGATTACAATATTTGTCAGACGTATTCTTATTCTTTTCACAGAATTTTGTTATATGCCTGGAGATGTTCATCTTTGCCATTGCTCATTACTACGTCTTCTCCCACAAACCCTATGTGGATCCATTCTCACCCCCTCCTCCCTGCTGCGCCTCTTTTGCTTCCATGTGGGATGTTTCAGACGTGCGCGATGACCTGCTGCAGCACGTGCAGAGCGTGGGAAGCACGGTGCGGGGGACAGTCGTGCGAAACAAACGCCGTGAAACCGCGGCCTCGGGAACGGCAAACAGTGAAGTAACCGCTTTACTGGAAAGTGAGATTTGCGAAAACTTTTCCTCTGATGAGGGCCCCATTCTTGATTGAGTCTTTTTGAGCCAACCTTACTTATTCTGCTGGCAATTGATGCACAAGTATCTAAATAGTTGATACATTATAAAGTCAAGTTATTTAACAAAGTTAACTACAATAAGTCTCGTACTGCAACACCTGAAACCCTGTAAATAAAGAAGAACTTTGTAATATAAAACAATTTGTTGAGGACAAATAAAGTTGTAGCTCGAGAATGCAAGGATTTTCTGCCTTAATCCTCAACAATTTCCATTTTTTTTTTTTCAATCTTTGGTAACATTACTGGATAGGGACTCTGTAATTTTCCGGCTCGGAAAATTTTGCCGAAAATTCATCTACTCCGAGATACAATCTCGTGTAGGACTCTTAAATTTGGCGAATGTCAGGATTCCGTATTCAACATGAAAGTACAAATAAAATACAGTTGTGATAAAAAGAAAATGATTAAAGACTAATGACCTTTTCCAAAATATCCATTAAATCAATAGAGGGAATAGGGAGATTTATGATCACGTGAGGAAAGCTAATAAACGATGGTCACGTGGTACATACGTTTGCCGCAAACGCTTATCTAAATCTCTCTAATCAAACACCAGCCTTGGATCAGCTTAATGTAGTTTAGCGTTGAAGACATGGTTGTGCGAGGGCTTTTGAAATTGACACCTAAGTGTCCATCGATTATGACTCACAAATTTGCCGACAGCTGTCCGACTAACTCAAGGGGAATTGAAATGCTTGGTTCGTAACATCAACAGTTGTAAAGTGGCAACATCCCCCGTACAAAAACTCTAGGATATTGGAGCTTAGAGGTTAACGAAATATATATCTTGCGGATCCCTTACTAGTTCATTAAAGCGCTCGGTCATCTGGTCAAAGGATATATTGACACACCGGGTAAAATAATATAAACCAGCCGCCATTTTGTTCTATCCAAAGTTGGTGCGGATGCGCCACCCTTGGAATAGCCTAGTCAAGCGTTCAATTACAATCGATCGGTGATAATTAGTCCCCCCTCCACCGACGTTTCTTTCGGAACCAGTCCACCTTCACCTAGACTGCAAAACAGTCCGTATTTCTGCGTCTTAAGTACGCGCGAGCAGTCAAACGAAAGGTGTGAGGTTCGCGTCCTTCGCGCGCGTAAGACTCTTACGCCACGCTTTACCGTTTTTTTTTACTGATTTTGTGAAGAAAAAAAAACAACTGTTTTGCAGTCTAACCCTCACCCGCTTTCCCGATCAATGTTGGTATGACTATGTAAAAGCCACCTTATCACTAACCTGTGATAGGGGGATAATAGGGAGAGGGCACGATCTCAGGCTTTCTTACCACCGGCGCAGTATATAGTTTGGAAGTTCACATTTCCTCTTGTCAAAGGTGAAAAAAGATCCATTAATAGGACAAATTGCCTCAAATCATTGTAAATCCCTTAATAGCAGAGCGCAGTTTTTCTTAAGTTTCGCTAATTGAACACCTCATAAAGCAACCTCGTTCTCTCCGTAGGGACGGGTAGGAGAGAACTCTGGGAACGAGGTTGCTTATAAAGTCTCTTTGTGTGGAATGGATTCGCGCCATGAAAGGGAATCCAAGACAGGCTTGGAATCTGGATTCCAGGGCCGGGATGTTCGAAGCTGGGTTAAGATAACCCAGGGTTATGCGAAATTTGAACTTAGATAATGAGAGCTTAAAAAGCAAATTCAGTTTAATTCTCTTTGCCTACAATTTGATGATTGGATACTCTAAAAAGAATAGAGAAAATTATCCGAGAGAGTGCTTTTGATGAAGATAAAGAATCCCAGGTTAAAATGTAACTCTGGGTTAGCGCTAACCGGCGTTCGAACAACTGGGCCCAGGTCGTGGATTACGAATGTCAGTTATTAGATTCCGGATTTTTTCTGAGTGGAATTTGGATTTCCAATCGTCAGTGGGATTCCGGATTCCTTTGCCCTGCGAGCAGAAGCCCTTCGATCTTTCTAGATAAGTCGGGAAGAAAGGGTCTCTGCTCGCACGGTAGGATTCTTTAAGCTGTACTCCGGATTCCAAAGTCCAGGTTCCAGATTTCAAAGTGTGGGATTCCGGATTCCAGAGTCCAGGATTCTGGATTCTACAAGCAAGAATTTTCTGCATTACAGAATCCGGATTCCCTTTCATTGGGCGAAATGGATTATTGGAACAGACAAACATACTCCCTTATAAAAAGAGTACTCCTTGCAGTCAAAGATGGCCGACAAGCTTGCGCTCTACTGCAGTGGGACCGACTTGTCCTATTTAAAGTGGAGCTAGCAAAAAATTTTTGCTGTTTATTTTATTCATGTCAATACCCGTATCTTTACAAAATTATTTCAAAACTTATTTCTCCTTTTTTTGGACAAACCAAACCATAGCAATACGTGTACAATGGTTTAACATAACGCAAACTTGAGTGGATAAATTATCTTGTAGTCATTCTCATTAAATTTGTTTCTTCTCAATGACAAGGAACGCAAACACCGCTGAACAGCAGTCGTTTCAATTACCCTTGCTGTTCCATTATTTGAAGACCAGGCCAAATGACACTATCTTTTAATGTAAAGGCCACGCACCGAAACGTACTTATCAAAGGCTCAGCAACAACAAAGGCGACTGTTCCACGATCTGAAAACTTAAGCGTTATGGGCTTGAATCAATTCATTTTTACCGTGATGACAGGCTCCAGAAATAGAAGGAAGGCTGTTGATTATTCGGTTAAATGCCCGAAGTTCTCTCAATGTACGTTTTTGCCCGCGTGGCCGATAACACGGTTCTTACGTGTGCCACGCACGCGATTAAGGAATATTGCAAGAGTAGCTCGGGAGTTCTTGCAATGCTGGCACTTGTCCTCGCACGTAGTGCGAACGTCCAAACAAAACCGTGCAAAACAATAAATTCTGGAAAAACCCAAGTGTAATTAATACTGCCATTGAAAATGGTGATTTTGTTGTTGTTGTTGTTGCATCATAACGTTCGCAAGCATCATTTTCAACTTGGCATTTTCTTTTTCAAGTTGATCAATTTTGTGCGCAATTAAGATATCTCTGGCTCGCTTGGCTTCTCGAGATTTTTTCGCGGAAATATTGTTTCTTGATCGCTTTCTCCAGTACCGTTCATCTTTGAATTCATCAGGGACCGAGGGTCTTCCTCGTTTGAGTTCCTCATCCGGGGATTTTGCCTCTTTCCGTTCTTGAGCTAGTGCATAGTGAGAAGGAACTTCGGGAGTGCGGAATGACGTCACGTTGTTAGGGTGAATCTGACTTCCGTGGTAATCATGTGGGACTGTGCATTTCCCCCCTTTGAGTTCCTCATCCGGGGAATTTGTCTCCTTCCATTCTTGAGGTGTATAGTGAGAAAGAACTTCGGGGGCACGGAATGACGTCACACTGTTAGAATGAATCTGACTTCCATGGTAATCCTGGGAGATGGTAGGCTCGCGGCGGGAGGTTTCTATTGCAAGAGATTGACTTGAGCCTTGGATCACTTCAGGTCTATAAACCGATTGATCTCTCACCACCAAAGAAGGACTGGGAAAAGCAACAGCAGCACTAATAACAACATCCCGGTCTTTGTTCTTGTAAGCTAACATATCGCAATGTGTTCTGCTTGGCGTTGAGATTGTATTGTTAGCTATAATGGGATCTTGCGTTGCCTGATAAGGCAATTCTAGACCCTCTAACCATTCAATTGCTGAGCTTGCCATGTCAAGCTTAGTAAGCTCCGCATGGAAATTAGAGGGAACATTGAAGTCGCTGACATCGACAACGAAGTCATCCTTGCCGTCTTCTGAGTAAATCATTGAACAAGGAGAACTACTTGATTCACTTCTGGAAGTTTGTGGGCTCAGGCAAAAACTTTTCATTCCTAGATGAAAGAAAATTTGAAAATAATAAAGATAACTGCTTTTTCTGTGGTAATAAACTTGAGCCAATTTTCTGATCTAAAACAGGCAGAACCGCTAGTGTTGAGGGGAGGCGGAAAGCCTGCCCGTAATATTTTGTGCACGGTTACATGACTCAGGTATGTGAATAAACTTTTAGGTCCATAAGCTTCGAGGTATCGATTCTGTTCAACAACAATGCTACGGCGCTTATTGGAGTTCTTGTGCATTAACTAACTCCTTTCGAATTGACCCTCCCGGCCGGAAGCCCCTTTAGCCTAAACACTCCCTCCTCCTCCACCTACTGAATTTACGGTATGCAGTACGTATTTCTTCGATAAATTTAGTGTAACATGTACAGTCACCAGGGATTGGCCCATTTGAGGACATCACTCGGTCGGCCAACGTAACTTGAGAGCCCACGAGCGCTTAACTCAGCGGTCGTTTTGTGGCCGAGAAACTATGATTTATGGCCCCCAAAAAAAAACAGGTAACGACAGTCAATGAGGTATGAAATTGTTAATTGGCTTATCCAAAATATTACTTCTCCGCTCCCTCACGTGTTCCAGCCAAAAGGCAAAAATGAAAATAAATTAGGCTTCGTCACTTTTTTATCAAAGGAGTAATAAAATAGTTTGCGTTTTTTGTAGCAAAGCGTTGAATTTTCTGTCAGTCTGTTCTAGCTGAAATATGCAAGTACAAGTAGGTGAATATAGTAATAATAAATCAATTGATTTTCAAATAGTCTACTTCTTTTATTTAACCTCGCTTTTATTCTAAGGAGTTAACCGGTGCGTAAAAAAATGCATAGTAAGAAGTTGGCTTGATTAACAAAACTCTCAGTACATCAGCTTTCTATAAACGCAGATTTTTTAAAACAAATCGGTGACGATCAGAAACTGTGCAAATAACGATTTCTTGCCAAATAAAACTACAGGAAGACCAAAATCAATAGTTTCGCATAAGTTTTTTTTTTGTCCTTCAATGCCGCCGCCCACACAAGTTCATTGAACGGCAAATTGCAAATTGAAATTGGAATTTCACACAAAATATTTCAATTAGCATTTTTTGCTTAACAACTGCTTTCCACACTGACAAGTAGAAATATTAACGAACGCGACTATCCAGG